AGTTCAGTCAAATCTCTGCAGCATATGTGCCATATTAGGTGAGAGGATGCGGCTCACAGCCCCAAAGTGCTTCATAGGACAGAGGCAGAGCCCCAGTACTAACTCAGACAGAAAGAGGAAGACGGGGTGGGCCATGTGGGGCATGGAAAGGACCCCAAACAAGGAGGGTTCTGAAAGATACGGCAAGGTACAACTGCCTCCCTCCCCTTCATCTCAAATACTCCAGTCACTCCATCTCCTGATATTCCTGCTGAGACCACAGGGTTAGAGTCTTGCCCTGAGGCTAAGGATCTAGCCCAGGACAGCTTGTTTATAAAGGCAAATCTATTTACTGTAGAACACCCGCCACCCAGGTGTTTTCGGGAGGAGTCAGTTCATCTCCCAGGAGGAAAGAGTTCGAAGAAAAGGGAGAGCTTAGGAAAGTTAGGCATGAAAGCCCGAGGAGCCCAGTGCCCAGGTGGCCACCTGACTTCATGGCTGAGGTGGGAGAGGACTCTTCCTCCACATCACGGTCAGGCCACTCAGGACAGCTGGCCAACAAGAAATGGGTCTGCCACAGCGGTGTGCACAGACTCAAGCCCCAAATGTGTGCCATTCTGGCCCCATCACTGCCCCTGGAAGCCAGACTGCTGGGCACAGCCATAGGATCTGCAGCAGGAACCTTGACCCCCAAGCAGAGCGGAGGTGGGCATGTCCTCTGCTGCGGCTCTCAGCGTGGCCAAGGCTTCATGGTCAAAGACACAGTATCCTAATAACATTAAGCTAGAAAAGGCAACCGGAACACGTGACTTCAGAGGGATTCCCTTGAGGGCAGCTGATTTCCTATCTGAAAGCGTGAGCAATCAGAGTAGGTCACATCATTGTTAGGTGAGGGCAGGGATGTTTCAAAGAATGTCAGCAACACTGCTACAAGGACAAACGAGTGGCCAGAAAGAATGCCAAGAGACTACTGGGAAACAATCCAGCCCATCAAAAAGATATTAAACCTGGTTACGTTTGTGCAAGGCCAGGAGTTCAAAGCTACAGTCAACAGTATAGCACACAGTGTACAAAAAAGGAAGTTGTAATTTAGTAGCACATGCAGAATTACTTGGTCTTAAGTAGCACTTTGTTTCTTTTGTATCTATGCATAGGGCACAAATATGTACTGGTTTTTATATTACATATACTGTAAGAAGGAATAAAGACCAGGAACTCTGGGCAAGCCAAACAGCTCCCCAAACAAAGGAAGTATGCCAACATAAGAAGGACTGCAGAGTCCAGGTAGTGACAGAAAAGCTACCTGGGAAGAAAGCCCAGCACTGATGGTGCCACTCAACAAGCAGGCAGAGAGAGCGCCAAAACATGAGCTGAGGGGATAAATACCCCAAAGGGCTTAGAGAGGACTGGGCAGGGCCAATCCTTGTCTCCCAGGAGATGGAAATCTCTAAAAAATCCTACTAATTTCCAGAAAAAATGGAAAGGCCTACATAAGCTTTTAATAATGCTAAGAGGTCAGGCCAATACATCATTATGACAGGACAATGGATTGTATAACCCTGGCCAAGCGAGACTTGGGAAGTAAATCACTGCAGGGTAAGGGGGACGGGGGTGTGGTGGGCGACAAGATTGTAAATAAAAACCTACCTGGGGTGTAACTGACTCCACAAATTGAGTAAGCCTGACGCCGGCATCCCAGCTCTGGCTCACCCTGGGAGAAGAACCCAAACCGGCCCCATGTTCTGACCAACAACAGCTGGTCAGGAGCCGGACCTGTTGCCCAGCAGCTGTGATGGGTGCTTTCTGCTTCTGGGGAGGCCAAGTTCGCATTCCCTCTGGGTAGGTGTCACAATGGCGATCTTATAACAGATGCAAGTTAGCATGTAAACAGTGAAGACATGGCTGGAACTTGTGCGTGGACCTTTCAAAATAGATTTCAGGGTGGCGGGCATGCAAAATGTACGTGGGTAATTGTTTTTAACAATCACATAATTGGTTAAATTGCCAGGCTGTGATGGCGAACCTTGTAGAGCTTTCAATGATGCAAACAGCCCACTGCGGCACGCGTGCCCTAGGGGCGCCACCACTGGCCCAGAGGTACTCAGTTTTATAGCTAATGTTTAAACATTTAATAGCTGTTTGGTGTCATGTATTATAAATCTTTAATACTTGAGCGCTAAAGGACACATTAATATTTTTCATGCATCAAAGGCCTCCAGGCATTTAAAAAAAATAAAAAGACTGTAACTGGTCAGCACATGCTCACTCCTAGAACTGCTTCCTTTTTATTGCACAGCCCTTCAACCACTCCACAAGCAATCACAAAAGTAAAACATGCCATACTCAGGTCTGGAACCCAAAGACACCAGAATATGGGGTGATTTTCACTCAGGATTGAGCTAATGGGGGGCAGCTTTTCTTTTGATGTTCTTTCTGAATTTTCCAATGTTTTTCTCCACAATGAGCATATGTCACTCTTTTAAAAAGATAAACATTTCCTTGGGAAAAGAAAGAGGCCACCCACCATAAAGGTGAGTCTCCGCACCAAGCGAAGCTGGAGCACTGGCTCCAGGGCTGCTGTGGCCACTTCCCCTTAGATCTGGGCCTCAGAAAACCCAGCTAAACTGCCAATGGGATAACTGAGCGGGAAGCAAAGAAACCGTGGTCAGAAAGAAGAGGGACAGGTGAGGAGGGGGCAGGGAAAGGGACAGCACACAGAAACAGCGGCTGGGGCAAGAGCCCTGGCAACTCGGGCGGCTGAGCCCAGAGGAAGACAACAGGCACCGGACAACAGGCCAGTTTGGTCAGGGCCAAGAGCTACCTGGAGATCAAGGCAGGCCCACAGGCGGGGGCAGGAGGAAGGCGATGCCCAGCAAGCTTAACTGCCTAGGCAACCTTCCTGCCTGGCTCCTGAGCTATAATCAGTGTCTCTGAGCTGCCTAGTTCTCTACCAGGTAGTGACAGGTAATGACAGCTCTCTACACCAGCATGCCGCTGTCGCCGCAGTCAAGGTGTAAGAGGCGAAGAAGAAATGTTCCCTCGTTCCCTCGTTCCCGGCATTCTGTGCAGCAGGGGCAGACTTGCCACACTGTCAGAGGCTTCTGCTATCCAGCTTCTAGTGTGTCTCATCCAGCAGGGCAGAAGGCCAGCTCATGTCATGACTGGCTGCACTCTGAACCACAGCGGGGGACAGTTTCGATAGAAAAACCTTGGATACACTTGGGATTCCGTGGCGCCAGAGTGAGAGGCAGCCACACGCTGTTAGAACAGAGCGATGTGAAGGGGCGTCTCCTAGGGAATGCTATTTACTGCACACATGTTGCCTTCAAAGACAAAGTGTCCTACTGAAGGTCAGACTTGGGGAGTGACACGACCCAGCGAGTTCCCTCCAGGATGACAAAAACCAATGGAAACGTATATGATGAGTAAAGGAGAAGCACAGTCCTAAGAATAGTATCAGTATTTGTATACAATTGGCACAAGTAAAAATTCTTCATTCTTTATTTAGCATGAGTTATTCAAAGCACTGTTAAAACTACTGCGCACATACATTTGTAAGCCTCTGTGCTTTGCATACAATTGCAGACCAGTAATATCACCAGAAAGGAGCTCAGCACGCCAGTTCTTTACAAGCTGCTAAACTCGAGCGTCCCAAGTGTCCACTTGAGAAAATCAGCTTGAGCTTATACAAAACACCTCACAAGCAGGCCAACACTCTGGAGATTAGCACTGTGATCTGAGAATGGATAATGGCATTTAATTATCGGTGGCTGGCTCAGCAGGTCCCCAGAACAGTGCTAGCTGCGGTATTAAGTGATCATGCTAAGCCCTGAAGAATGAAGAATGTTGGGTGACACAGCTGAAAATATTCCTCCAAATAAGCACTTTCACCCTGGAAGATTAGAGAAAGTCTGCTGGCAAAATGATGTTGTCCACAGAGGAGAAGGCAGGCAAAGAAGTGGTATTTCCCCAGTTACTCTAAATTATTAAAATAAAAAAAAATTGTAGCTAAGGAGCTTCCATTTGCTGTCATCTGCTAAAGAAGTCCTACAAGTACTGACTGGGGTGGGGGGTGTGTGTCAAATTATATGACATAACCAAAATTCCTCTCCAGAAGAGCAGCATCGTGATGAATTACTGTAGAAACCCTTTCCTTTGGTGAGGAAAAGAGCCAGGAAGACGTTAACATAAACCCCTAGGTAGAGGGCTCTGCCAGGAAAATGACTCCAGTGATATTAACACAAGGCAGATGTTGTAAAGGAATTTAAAATTTCACTAGACATGAAGTCGTCTAACCATTACCTGTCTGTACACAAGACAACGGAGAGTCACAAGCTAAAGTTTTAGAATTAGTTTTGTTACCTTCCAAACAAATCAGTTTCTTTCCAAGCCAATAATCTTTTTTAAAAACTTGTCAGCTGGCAGAATTTCATCATTTTCAAAAATTAATTGCTTTAAAACAGTGAATGTGTCTAATTTAAAACAACTGTGTTTTTTTTTTTTTTTTTTTAATCTTTGGTGTACAAGTTGTCCTGAACAGGAAGTCAAAGAAACCACTCTTATACTGGATTTTCCTAAGAGGTGGTAAGAATTGAGTCATGTTGATAATTTTAAGAATAATCAAAGCAACGTCATAGTGACTAGTAAATCTATTCATCGGGTGTATTTTATTGACATCTGTAAACCAGATCATCACTCAAGAATATACCAGCACATTATTATTGGATTCTCTGAGGTCTCAAACTTAAAAGTATCTCCTTCTATCTACAGGTCTTTCATTCATTTTCTGGGTTTATAGTTTGAATTAAAATTTTTTAAAAAGTCAGAACAGTATTTTTCAAATTCAAGGATGGTTTTTATGTGACAGTTCTTTTAATTTTATACCAGCAAATTTGAAATTGAATGTACAATAATAAAAAGTTCTCCAGATTATTAAAGTCTCTTAAGATCTTTAAAACTGAAATTGTAGTTTTATTTAAATACCCTTCCTAAGGAGTCTCTTAGTTGTATCTTTTTCCCACCTCAGTGCGTGAATACAATATATCATTCTTGGTATGTTTTTCCGGTCATAGACATCTGTTGTTTCTGGATAAAATATCTGGAAAACAAAAGAGACAAAGTGTTTGTGCTTTGCTTCTCAAAATTATTTTACTTCCCCAGATTAGCCTATCCTAATTGCTATTTATGTATCTACATGTAGAGGACCATCTCCACCTCTACAGATCAATCTAGTGTCCTTTCTGAGAGCACGCCCCCTAGTGGCCCATGGGCGAAGGATGCATCCACCACAGCCTTTACCCAGGGCTGGTCCCCAGGGCTGGGTGGCAGCTTCTCTCCTTGACCTCACTCCTGTGACTGCCAGGGGCCCATGTGCCCGAGAAAGCGGCCTGCCTACAGCTATTCCATTACACTGTTAAAAACCCAATACATCGTTCTGTAAACACGAGTGCATCTACATACAACACACGTGGCAGATTTTTTTCTGCTTACACACATTTTCACCAAATACTGTCTAGAAAATATATACAACTATGAAGGAAAAACACCTAGACAGTCACCATTGGCATTCTGGTATCTTTTCTGGTCTTTTTTTTCTGTATACATCTGTGTGGCTTTTTTTAATCTTAGGTATATGTGAAAACACCTTTGTACCTGGTGTAAGCCTGTGTAAAACTTGTTTAAAGGACTTAATAGAAGATGACTACATTCCATCCCCTTCATTATTCTCACAGAACATCACTTCTAATGGATACATATGATTCTTTCCTTTTTTTGAACTGTACCTTACCACTGCCCAGGCAAACATTTATTTTGCTCCCAATCCTTCCCTTATTCTAAGCCACTGCCGTGACTGTGCCCAGCTTTCCTTAGCTGCTGATTTCTGCTGTTACTCACCCAGATATGGAATCGCTAGACTGAAAGGTCTGAACACCAAGGCTTGTAAGAGACATTCGCACTACTTTTCCTAAGCTCGAAACTAAAAGCCTGACAATAAAGATGTATCGGATTTCGGAGCGGAGCACCGAACTTCTCCATTCCTAACCCTGAAAAAAAGAAACAACTGGCCTTGAAGCTTCTAATATTAAAATACGCGCACCAGCATTGCTTACTTTCAGTAGATATTTTACACAGTTCGACATGAAAGCTAAAGTTAAATCGTGTACCATAAGGTACTACTTGATACTAGAGTGCATTTTCCACTGGACATTTTAAAAAGGAGAGAAAAGAAAGGAGCAAAGTGCCTTGTGCTAACAATGTACAGTTCCTGTGGCCTTCGAGAAGTGCCTGCGGTCTGGGAAATGTCACGGGCCTTTCCAGCCTTCCTTTAACGTGTGCGCTGGCCAAGTGCGGGGAACGAGGCTTCTCAAGGCCGCAGGATGTTAGCGGTCTGAAGTTCCACATAAGCAAAGAGCAGCTACAGTGCTCACTGCACACCTTGCTGGACGGCTGGCCAACTCTCCCTATCCTCTTTTATTCAAACAAAACCTTCTACATTTATATTCTCCAGGAAAATCCTCATAAATGTGAATTCCTGGAGCAAGAAGATGGGATCAATTTGTACTTAACCAGACGGTTTTATTCGGCACTGTGTCTTCAGCTCCTAGGATGATGTTGAGCAAAGTAAGCATTTATTATCACTAATGAAGGAATTCGTGGTAGTCACGCACATCAAAGACACTTCCATGCACTCTTACTCTCACCCCTGCAATGCCATATATTGATGACTTCATGATAAAAACCAATGCTAAAGCAGAATCTGCTGCCCATATTACTTGTTTGGCCCCCAAATATACAACTGGAAGAGGTTTAAGTCGAATCTATCAAACATGATGCACTTATCCTAGTCAGGTGCTGCTTCATCCAGAAAACTCCTCTTTGAGTTTCCTTCTGTTTATCATGCAGACCTTACCCAGTGCTTGCTAAATTGCAGTCTGGAAATACAAAAGTGTATGGTAACTACTGCCCAGAAGGTAATGGCGACTAACGTTCTATGTACTTTAAGAGAAGGGAAACTGGTTTGATAAAAATGGCAGAACAAAATAAATATTCATAACTTAGAGAAAATATGAGTCTGAGCTAAAGCTGAAGTAAGCACAAATATATTGAAAGTGAGCACTCATAATTTACATGAGATAATCTTTTGCTTTTGCTCTGATGGGTGTTTTAAATAGCAAACCTGGCATAATAGCAAGATAACACAGAAACCCATAGTGCAGCCCCTGTCCTCGAGCTGGCTCTTTCTCAAATCATCTCTTTAACTAGCTGTTAGGAAGTTAGGAAGCCACACAAAGGATAGAGCTCTTGATGTATAGGAAAAGCGGGTGGATCTCAAATACAACACGCTCGGTGGGAAAAATTCAGTTTCAAAAGCCATCTGTAATATCCCATCCACACAATGCAAAATGACAGCAAAGGAGTAGTGGCTGCCCGCGACAGTGCTGGGGAGGGATGAGACATAGAACACTTCTTGTGGTATACAGATCTGGATTGTGGTAGTGGCCACACAAATCCGTCTGTGGCATTGAACTGTGCAGAACCACACACATCCACACTCTCACCAGTCATTGCAGGTAAAAACGAGGAACCCAAGTAAGCTCTGAAGGAGAGTTTACATTCATACCCTAGCACTGCTGGGGCATCATCCCGCAGTCATGTCCCTACTGAGAGGAGGCTGAAGGAAGGCTGCCCCAAATGCACTATTTTTACACCTTCCCATGGCTCCATAGCTCTTTCAAAATTAGAAATAGCTGTACAATTTTTATTGAGTGTAATTTCCTCACTCTCCCCAGCCTCTATTTCTCTCACAGGCTAAAGGATGCCTGCTCTTTGAATTCAACAAGCACTGACTGCTTACTGAACAAATTTTATTTGGGAAATATCAGTAACAAGAGCTATAATGCCCCAGCTTTTTTTTTTTAATATAAAGGGATACTATGATTTATAAAAATAATTTATACAGTATGTTTATAGTAATTTATAGTGATACAATGAGACAGAATATTTAAAGTGTAATCAGCAAAGCAAAAAAAGGAGATTGTCTATCTTAACTGTATAGCAGCTAAAACTTGTCCTTAGACACTTTCACTTGACACCTCTCAAACTGGGCACGGATTCATTCTGAGGTATTGTTTTAGCTACTTTGGATAAGCCTTTCTGTACTTTTGTTTGGTTCTCACATTTCTCATTTCTGCATTCACATATCTCACCCATCCAATCATTTTTCATAAGGGGACGTTTGTGCAACTCTGCTTGTCTCACCAGTGCAGGACCTGGTCCGCAGAGACTTACCTTGGGGAGACCGATCGACTCCATGGCTCTTAACCACTGGACGGTGTTATCTGTGTGTCGAAAATGAAGACCAGACTTCTAGTGTGAGGACAGAAGGGAGAAAGCACAGACAGGGCCACACACAAAATGAGTCATTTGTAATAACTTTTTTTCATTAGCAGGATGCTTTTCAGTTGTACTTATCCAACAATAGTTATTCATGCTTCCATAAAACAAATACAGACACAGTAAAAAGACTAGACTGTATGTCATCATCGTCCCAGCCATTGGTGGGGACCATGCCAGCTCCCACAGTTCATACGGCTGGGTGATTCTCAACATGACTCTCACGTCCCATGTACTGTCTAGCATATGCCCAAGGATGTTTTATGTCACACACACGTGTGTGTAGGTGTGCACGAGCACACTAACACAGACCCAAGGTGTGAAGATTTTGGTAAACATGCTGACGGGAAAGAGAATCTTCATAAGATTAAATTCTTTTTCTGTTTCTGACACATTCATATGTAATAATCTTGTATAAAACCTGGAAAATACAGAAATATATAGATGAAAATACAAATCATTCCAAAATTCAGAGCTAATTTTAGTATTTACCTTGCTTATAGTTTAACTCTGATCTTGGCCTTGAATAAGAAGTAAACCTTTGGTGGAAATGCTTTATAAGACCTTTTTCTACACATGTAATAAAAATACATTTCTTTCTGTGTCTTCCATTCCTTCTTTACAATCCTAAACATAAGACTACTTTTTCTGCACAGTACAAACAGAGCACCCTTGCTGTGTCTCATGAAGTCATGTCAGGCAATGAATCACCACAGGTCTTAAAGTGATCATGCATTTCTCACTAGGTGAATGTATATCATGGTATTATCTATTTTATTTTTCATTTTAAATAGATCTACAAAAAGCTAATGGTACAAAATTTTATAATATAAGTAACATCCAATGTTTGATAATCACATTCACCAAGTCTGGATCTTCCTACCTTTTAGAACCTTCTACAATCTGACAGTTTATTAAATTAAAACTGCTCCTATTTATGTTGGAAACTATAAAAATAAGGAAATTAACATTTGACAAATGTTTATGCCTTCTTAATAGTGGTCACTATTTGTGATTGGACTATACATTTCAAGTAGTATACGTAAATTATTTCTAATTTCCCAAACACTCTGCAAGGTAATAATCATTCTCACTTTTTTAAAGATGAAGACAGCCTGGGTCAAAAAGTTAAAATGATTTTCCTCAAGTCAAGTGGTTGTTAGATGCTGAGCTGGAATCTAAGACTCGGTCTCTAGTAAAAAACCCTGGGGTGGGGGATGGGACCAGTGACTGGCTAGTCTCTACAAGGAAGAAGTCAGTAGTTGCTATGTATTAGCTCAAGGAAGGGAGAAAGGGAGAAGGAGAAAGGATGAAGAACACAGGAAGAAGGGAAAGGAGGAGTGGAGTTAACTGCCAGGCCGTAGTGTCTGAGCGTCTGTAAACCAGCAGAGGAGACGTCTGCAGGATACAAGCAATTCTCAGACACGGTCACTCTGTGATCATGAAGAAACAAGACAGAAATAAGCCTCAGTCAAGTCTGAATAAAGACAGGTGAGGACTGTCTGTAGCACAAAATAACTAAATGTTCTCCTAACAAAATAACTAGATGTTCAGAATACAAAATCAACATTGTGAAAATCAATAGCTTTTCTACACACTAATAATGAACTACCTGAAAAAAATCAAGGAAACAATGCCACTCATAATAGCTTTAAAAAACACCTAAGAATCAACCAAGGAGGTGAAAGTCCTCTACAAATGAAAATCACAGAACACCGAAGAAAAAAATTGAAGAAGAAATAAGATGAAAAGACCTCCATGTTTATGGATCGGTGGAATTACTATTAAAATGGCCATATTACCAAAAGCGATCTACATTTTAGTGCAATCCCTGTCAAAACTCCAATGACATTCTACATAGAACTAGAAAAAAAAGACAATGATAAAACTCATACGGCAGCAAAAATGACCCAGAATAGCCGAAGCAATCTGAGCAAAAACAGGAAGGCTGGAGACACTGTAATACCTGATTTCAAATTATGCTATAAAGCCATAGCACCAAAAACAGCGGGGCTCTGGAAGAAAAATAGGTGGAGGACCAACAGGATAGAATAAAGGACAGGGAAGCAAAACCACAGGACTACCGTCATCTGATTCTAGCCAAAGAGCCAAAAACTTACACTGGAAAAAAACTCTTTAACAAATGTTGCTGGAGGAACTAGATATCCATATGCAGAAGGTTGAAATTAGATCCTTGTATCTACCCTTTATAAAAATCCATTCAAAATGGATCACGGAGTTAGGTATAAGACTTAAAACATTAAAACTTCTGGAAGAATGCATAGGGGAAATACCTGGCTCTGTAAGGAGAGGCAAAGGGTTCCTGCATAGGACTCCAATAACACAGGATATAATAGCCAGAATCAGCAAGTGGGATTATGTCAAATTAAAAAGGTTTTGTACAGTAGGGGAACAACTAGCAGAGTGAAGAGCCACCCTAGAGAATGACAGAAAATCTGTGCCAGCTAGTTTTCCAGCAGAGAATTAATATTCAGACTAGAAAAGAACTTAACACCAAAAAATTAAACAGCCCAGTTATTGAACAGGCAAATGAACTGGACACTTCTCAAAATGATAAGTACAAATGACCAATAAGTATATGAAAAAATACTCAGCATCTTTAGGCATTGGGGAAATCCAAATGAAAACAACATTAGATTCTATCTCATCCCATTTGGAATGGCTATCGTCTAGAATACAGAAGCCAGTAAATGCTGGTGAGGATGCTGGTGGGGAGGTGCAAGGACCCTTCTACACTGCTGGTAAGAATGTAAATTAGTACACTCACTATGGATATCAGCATGGAAGTTCCTCCAAAAATTACATATAGAACCACCATATGACTCAGATATACCATTCCTTGGTACATATCCAAAGGAATGAAAGTCACTGAACTATAGGGCTACCTGCACACCCATGTTTATTGTGATGAAATTCACAGTAGCCAGCCTAGGTGCTCATCAGTAGGTGCATGGATAAAGACAAAATAGTGTATATACACAATGGAGTATTATTCAGCCATAAAGAAGACTGAAATCATGGCGTTTTTCAGAAAAATGGATGAACTAGAAATCATCATTTAAGCAAAATAAGCCAGACTCAGAAAGAAAAGTATCATGCATTCCCCTAACGTGGAATCTAAAAAAGATGACATGAAAGTAGAAGGGAGATTATAACTGGACAACAAGAAGGGCGTAAGGGGCTGGGAGGGCACGGGAGGGTGGTGTGGGGATGGGAATGATCAAACTATGTACACACATGAAAATAAAATGAACAGCAAAACAGTAAATGGCATGGGAAAAATGGCCCATGCTTGCAAATCCCCTCTACTTGAGAGGTTTAGGCAGGAAAGTCAAAAGTTCAAGTCCAGCTGGGGAAATTTACTGAGACCTTGTCTCAAAATAAATTTTTAAAATGGCTGGGGATATAGCTCAGTATTAGCGCACCTTGCCTAGCACGTGTGAGGTCCTGAGTTCAATCCCCATTATAAAAAAGCAAAAACAAAAAAACCCACCAAAAACTAGAATGTCTTCAACTAATCTGAACATTTCCAGTTTCTCCACTGATGACAGTCTAGTCCCCACTCAATCTTCCTGTCTCCTGTATAAAATGATCAGGACACCAACCTTAATCTGCTCCCTGAAAATACCCAAAAGAAAGCTGGTCCCCACATCCATCCCTAAATCCTTACCGTAACTGCCCCACTAGAAGCCCGGATCTATGCTGAGCCCTTCACCTCTGCCTGTAGCTTCATGGCTATGCATTTTTTTCTTCCCCACAGGGTAAAATAAGCCTAATTTCATTTGAGTTCAGGTGAGTTTCTGTGATCTGTGACTGGCGCGCTACTCCAATCCCACGCTGTGTAACAAAGACACCCTGTTTACCCAGTAGTCTTATTATGTAAGTAATCTGACGAAAATCACAAATCCCCGAGCCTAGGCTCCTCAGCCATAAAACGCTTCTCTGAGTTTAGGGATTCTAAAATACATAGTTGCAAAGTACACTAAGTATGTAGCCAGTGTTAGCTATTCTAATTACTGCGCTACAGGACTGGGCTTGAAACTTTAGGTCAGAAAACAGTTTAGCGTTTTATATGGGAAGTATTCAAAGAAAGGCAGCTATCTTGGTACTATTTCTACAGTAAATGAAACACACTTCAAATCCTTCACTTGGGAACTGCTGATCCTGGGTGCCTATACATGACCCATTTTGCATATTTAAGGAATAAACTTTGGGGAGCAAATTATGGCAATCACATCTCAAATTTATTGATTGGCTTCAATTACAATGAAAATGATCTTCTAAACAAGCTCAAAATAATTTCAGGGCATGGTAATTATTTTAGCAAATCTACTTTAAAAGAAAAACCAGCCCTACATATTAATAATATATGAGCTAGCATGACTAAAGTCTTATGTAGGTAAGGGGTGCTTCTGTCCATCTACCTAACTTAGTTGTATTTCATACAGAAATATAAATTCCTGCTTGCTTTTAAGTTCTTGTAGAAAGGTGCACGCAGACTGTCCACTGCTGAGCTTTCTCAACACCAGCAAACGTGGTTCATCTCGTTTAGCTGTTGAGGAGCCACATGAGTCTCTGAGGATGCTAACTCTTACCTACAAGCGCCTCCTGGCATACGGGCTAAGTTACAAACAGTGACTACCTAACCTGCCCATGTTACAGATGAGGAAACCAGGGCACAAATCTGCATGACACTCGAGCTGGCTTGTTGGGCTCGGGGTTCTGAATCTTCACAGATCCTGACTCCAGCCCCAAGTGTTCTGCTGGTTCTGCCCTCCCTGGAACCTCTTGTGCCTCAGCCTTGCTCGCTCCTGAGCACACACCTTGCTCAGCTGGGTGCTGGGTGCCAAGTGCCTGGTGCGCACTGTTGTCCAGTCCTCCAGCGTCTCCCAAAGGCAGATGCTGCTATCATGAAGCCCACTCCTCAGGACGGACCTGAGGCTCCCAGGGTG